TAGCGCAACTTAGCTCTTCCACAGCACACTCTCCAAAGTGGTCCCTGTTCACCAAAGTAATCCCTGAGTAGTTCAACGTAGCTCTTTGACAGCGCACTCACAAAAGTAATCTCTGACTAGTTCAACTTAACTCTTCCACAGCACGCTCGCCAAAGTGATCCTTGTTCACCAAAGTAATCCCTGAGTAGTTCAACGTAGCACTTCCACAGCACATTCACCAAAATGACCTCTAAGTATTGACACCACATTCACCAATCTGATCCCTGAGTAGCTAAACCTAGCTTTTCCACAGCAAATTCACAAACTGATTTCTAAGTAGCTCATCTTAGCTCTTCCACAGCAACCACAGTTCTTAGTAGCGCAACTTAGCTTCTCCACAGCACATTTACCAAAGTGATTCCAAGGTAGTTGTAGAGTTGCAATGTACTTATCAAGCCAACAAAAGCTGCGTTTTTCTCACCCGTAGGCCTGTCGGTTGTTAGGTTTTTAGAACTTCGGACTTCAGTACGCCCGGTCGCCCAACTTAGCTCTTCTATAGCACATTCACGAAGTGGTCTCTGAGTAGCCCAACTTAGCTTTTCCACAGCACACTCACCAAAGTGGTCCCTGAGTAGCTTAGCCCTTCCACAGCACACTCACCAAAGTAGTCCGCGAGTAGCCCAACTTAGATCTTCCACAGCACGTTGACCAAAGTAATCCTTGAGAAGCCCAAAGTAGCTTTTCCACAGCACGTTCACCAAAGGAATCCCTGACTAGCCCAACTTAGCTCTTCCACACCACACTCGCCAAAGTAATCCCTGAGTAGCCCAACTTAGATCTTCCACAGCACGTTGACCAAAGTAATCCTTGAGAAGCCCAAAGTAGCTTTTTCACAGCATGTTCACCAAAGAGATCCCGGAGTAGCCCAAAAGTAGCTCTTCCACAGCACGTTCCCCAGAGTGATCCCTGAGTATTCAAGCTAGCTTTTCCACAGCGCGTTCACCAAGGTGATCTCTGAGTAGCCCAAAGTGGCTCTTTCACAGCACGCTCGCCAAACTGATCCCTGTTCACCAAAGTAATCCCTGAGTAATTCAACGTAGCACTTCCACAGCACATTCACCAAAATGACCTCTGAGTATTCACACCACATTCACCAAACTGATCCCTGAGTAGCTAAACCTAGCTGCCTAGCTCTTCCACAGCACATTCACAAACTGATTTCTAAGTAGTTCAACTTAGCTTGTCCACAGCAACCACAGTTTTTAGTAGCGCAACTTAGCTTCTCCACAGCACATTTACCAAAGAGATCGCAGGATAGTTGTAGACTTGTAATGTACTTATCAAAGCAGTTTTTCCCCACCCGTAGGACTGTGGGGCTGTTAGATTTTAAGAACTTTGGGCTTCAGTAGACTCGCTACTTCTGCACATCCACCAGAGTGGTCCCAGCGTAGCTCAGAGCAACCCAAAGAACACAGCACATCCACCAGAGTGGCCCACAGTGGCCCAGAGTAGCCCTTACACAGCACATCCACCAGAGTGGCCCCGAGTAGCCCAGCGTAGCCTTTACACCAGCACATTCACCAGAGTGCTCCCAAGTACCAGTTCCACAGCATATCCACCACAAGTTGACTTGGCAGGGATGTGCGGTTGCCAGGCATTAAAATATCAAAGTTCAGAAACCTCACAAGTAAGTATTCGATGTGTGGTTTTGTTTTCAATAAAGAATCCTTTTCGCGCCGAACCGCTTTTCTCTTGTGAAGACCAATTCTTTGAGGGTGGGGAATTTCGAAGTAAAGTAATTTTTTGTTTATTTTTGTTTTTCATCCGGAACGTTAACTGGTTCCCGGTGGTGCGTGACGGCTCGAACTTGAGGTGGGTGCCATTGTGAGTGACATGACCTCGGAGAGTCAGGAGTTCAGGTCACTCGGTCCAGCGTCCGAAGAGGAGGAGTGACCCCAGGTGGAGAGATGTGGAGAGTTTTTTTTAGGACAATGGCATTCTTAGATGTTAGCGGTTCTTGCTGTTGATTTTGATTTATAGATGCCAGGGAATCGATTTGGATTAATAACGGTATATAATATATATATACACACGTTTTTGGATAGAGGGTTGAGGATGCTCAACTACGCCCCGTGCATGTCAGGCCATGGGTTGTGGTGAGCTATATATGACCTGCTGTGAATTGGAAGTTTGAACAGGAAAACATTTGTTATTGCAATTGGTTTCGCAACGTGTTCCACCTAGATCGTCTCCATGCCTACAGGTTTCAGATCAATTTGCGACCAACACCGGATACCGAAGGTGTTGGTTCCGGAGTCAGTCCTGTTTGCTGTAGGTGCGATTCAACAAAAATTGACTCCGTGCATGCTGCTTACATTGACCCTTGAAACCGCCCTAAGGTAGGTATGGTAGGTAAATACGCAAAAATTACATGGATTGGTTGGGATCAAGATGGGAGGGCCTGATGGATGAAGATGGGAGGGGTATGTGTACATGCGCCCTTTCTCTTACAACCATCATGCTGGCGACTTGTTTACACACCGACGGGCAATGTTGGATGACGATGGATTTTGTCCCCTTCCCAGTTCCGCAGGGCGAATCCCAATGAATCAGGTGTTGCAAAAAGTATGTTCCCCAAGCCAGTTGTGCACTCAACTGGAAAAACTCACAATGCATTGTCCAAATCCTTTTGAGGATGGGGATCTTCCTGAACTTGGGTGAGGGTGACCCCACTTTCACCTCAACAGCTGTTCTCACCTAGGCGCCGGATGCACCATCTCAATGTGATGATGCAAGAGCAATCGTTTCTGGGTCAGAGGATTCTTCATCAGGCGGCCAGCCGGCTGATACCCCTGCAAAGACCATTTAATAGATGGTTGACCTGGTTTTGTAGTCAAAGAATCCTTATTACAGTGGTTTCAGAGGTTCGATGGCACAGACCATCTAAGATGTCCTGAAAACATGGGGGTTCATATAAACCACCGACCTTGGGGTTTGTGCCATTGCTCCTCTCTTGCGTCTCGTCCTGGCGGACGCGCTTCTCATGCCACTGTGGGGGAAACTAGGGAGTGGAGGACGAACGTGAAAGGTGCGGAGTCCCTTGCGTTCCGCATGAACCCCCCCTTTTTGTTGTGAATAAGACACAAGGCTGTTGTGAATTGGAAGTAGGAAAACCGGCGAATTAAAGGGGGAAGACATGCGTCATCAGCGACCTCATCGGGCGTCGACGACGAGGGAACCCCCGAACTGGTGATTTGGGTCGCGTGCGGAACTGGTGGAACACCCGGGAGGAAGCGGGAGGAAGTGCAAGAAGGTGTTTTACCCTCCCTGAAACAATCATGGAAGCAGAATACAGCCTGTTCGTAGAGGAAAACAGTCTTCCAAGGGGCCATGTTCCTCCATGTTTGTTGGATGGAGGGTACATGTTTTGGTCGGACAGTGACACAACACAGTCAGCACAAGAGAGGTGGATTTGATTGAAGCTCAGAGCAACCCGATCATGGTGGTCCAGTTCGGTATCTAATCCGAGTAGTAGCATGCGTTACACCACATGGGATGGAATATACCCCGGTGATGGGGTGAATGTCATCATGTGTATATACGAGATGTGAAGATACCAGACAATTCATGGGACTGCCATATTTGCCTACATTGCACCCTTTTGAATCGCCCCATGCACTAGGTAAATATGCTATACATGGAGTGTTTGGGCATCATCCAACTACACACAAGTTTCAGTTTTGTTCAATCATAAAACCAACCCAAAGGGAAAAACTATGCATCCAATAATATAGTTATTTATAACTATATATATAATATACCGCAGCGGCGCGCCGCTTTCTGAAGGGCGCGGCGCGTGGGAGCGCTTGATAGCGGCTGAGGCTGCCCTTTGTCCTCCGCAAGCGCTTGAGGAGTTTCTTCCTGCAGAACCGGCACCTTGCGGCCTCTTGTTTTGACCTTTTGACGTTTTGGTCCGGACGTGGCTCAAAGAGAAGGTCGGGCGTGTTGGTCCGGAACGCACGACGTCATTCAAAGAGTGGATCCAAACGAAACATGTTCCAGTAACAGCAGTGATTGTTTTAGGGGTCGACTGTTCTGTTCATTTTTTGGATCTGCAACCTTAGGTGGGGCTTGGGCAACCAGCTTATCATTTTGCAGACGGCCTCATGTTGCTTCCCAGGATGAAGTCACTTAGACCCTGAAAAGGCCATTTAGAGACTCCAAAGAGGTCACTGACTGAAGGTCCTGGAAGAACTTATCCAACTTGTTGAATTGGCTGATGGTAGATGGTTGTAGTCAAGCTCTTCACAGTATTGTGCAGGGTGTCAGCAGTGAAGGAGGCATCCTTGAATATTCTTGATTGTTCCAACTCTACTCTAGCAATTGAGAGCTGAGAAATGCTAAGACCGCCAGAACATCACAAACTTTGCATGTCAACAAGAGGCGTTTTGCCATCCAAGAGCATCATTCGGTCCGCCTGGAATCATGGATGTTTTTGTGTCGCTTACTACTAGTAAAAAAGGACGCTACCAGGAACAAAGGGCAAGAAGCTACAGTAACTAAGCGCATTACTACTAGAAACAAGAAGCTACTGGTAACAAGTGCATCGCTAACTATACCAGGACCCTCCGAAAACGCGGGGTGTCCGTTTTCGAAGGACTACCCCACACTAGGCTAGGCCGTTCGGCTTCCTATTCCAGGGCACCCCTGTCAGGTCGGAGGGTCGTATAGTAACAACTTCAGACCACGGGAGCGACGAGATCGGAGCGCCTTCAGGTCTTCCGGACCCGGCAGAAGCTCTTCGATTCCATGAGCCCTCAACTTCAGAACGACGTGTGCCACGGCTGACCCCTTTGGTTGGGTTCGAACATGGTCTAAACCAAACATGAACAGATAACAATCACAAAACCAACTGACCTTTTTTGGTTCCTTGTCTTTTTCAGAGTTGTTTTTTGGGTTCGAAAGGTAACATGGTATATACTCCGGTCGGAAAGAGAACACGTTCGACCTATGCCATGTGGGCAGAGGAATGGGTGGATCGCAGAACTCATCGCCTCGTGGGGGGAATGGGAGGTCCGCTCGGCCCATCGAGGCGGGTTCGCCGTGGGGGCGAGATCCTGGGAGGTCCAGCAATGCCGTGGTAGTCCAGCCAAACATGTCCCAGACACGACCTGTTTGGGACTGCCATAGGACTGCCGCCCCGACCTCCAAAACCACCCCAATGTATCCCAAAGTAGGCATATACGGCATACATGACACCCCTGGCCGTTTCTCGGCAGTCGTATGGCAGTGGTCGTGTTTGGCTAGGGAGCTTCCACCCAGCAGGTGAGCACCGTTGGTGGGTGGTGCTGCGTGTCATTCTCGGAATGGTCGTGCTGGGGGGGGCCCGGGCCCAAACACTGGGGAATCGAGGGGTAGGTGTTGGGTGAATGTATATAGGCAATATTATACCCGATAGGGCTCCAACCACCTCCTGAGAAGGTGGTTGGGGTGGGTTTTGGGGGTCTAACCACCTTCTGAGGATATGGTTGGAGCCCTTGGGATATGTATATATATATTATATATATATATTGGGCTTGCTCCATTTAGAAGAAGGCCCGCAACCTAACCATCATTATCCACTGTTACTGGTAACAGGATATACCCAAAGTATACTAGGTTGTTTGTTCTTCGGCATCCTTAGTAAAATATGTGGTTCTTTGGGATTCTGACCATGAAATCTATGCTTCAGGGAATCCTAGGGTATATAGTCACGAAGTATACAAAGGAGTGGAGTTTTTACGTCTCACTTTTCTTATTGTTTGTCTCTTCTTCCTCCTGCTCGCGTCGAGGTGCATGAACACCCAGGTGCACTGGGTGAGGCCGGCGTTTCTGCGTTTTGGTTCACGGCAGTTTGCCAGGACATGCCTGGAAGGTGGAGGCTGTTTAAGGAGACAAAGTCTGAGGGATCAGTCGAAGCACATCTTTCTCACCGGAAGAGAGTCATTTTTGCGGTAAGATGCGACTTGGCCCTGACATGGACACCTACTTTCAACGGTGCCACCCCTGATATCTCCATAAATCTGTCCTCAGCAAGTTGTGCAGTTGCGCGCCTGCACCAGGAAGGTGTGGTTTTTCGATGGCTTTATGAGGTGGATCGAATCGAAGGCCGGGGTCTGGGGTCTGTGGTGCTCAGTTGAGAGAGGTTGCCTACAGGACCCACCCACCTACCAAGCTGCAGGTCACCATTTGTTTGATTGGAAGACTACTCTGCGAACAGAGGCAACAAAGGTTAACTTTTATAGTGAAACTCAGGGAGTGAGCCCACCAGATCATGTTGTTTGTTTCCATGTCAACTGCTTTGCTGGCCAATAAGCAAGATGACTCGCAAGATTGCTGGCCATCACCTTCCAAGATCTCAACCTTGCCAATGAGAAATTGCAGTCATTTTTATTCAGATTGACCGTGTGCGGCTCTAGTCAAGTCTCCCTCTTGACCATGCAGGATGCACTACGAGTTCGGCTCTATAGGGATCCAAAATCCATCCTAACCCGCTGGACGATGTTGACTTCTACAACAGGTGCACAGCATCGCCGCATCACCTCTTCTTTGCGGTGATCCTAGCTACACACTGCTTACGGCAAGCAGCTGTTCTAGGTCTAAGGCTGCCTAGTCGGTGGAACCCGGGACATCCACCGACTTAGAAAGGGGTTTGACTTGATCCACCTGGCTCAGATTCACATGTCCTCGCTCTACCAATGTGTGACCATTCCGGGCGATCGAGAACACCCTGGCACCCTACCTCCGGCCTCATCTACGATCACAGGTGATCACCAGCACCACCCACCCCTCAGGCTAGGCCGTGGCTCCTGGCCCCACATCTGCCAATGGCTCCTGGCCCCACATCCGCCGGCCCGCCGTGGCCGTGACCAGGAGACGTTGGGCATTTACACCGGGCACTTCTACGCCTGTGTGGCAGACATCACACGGCAGCTCAACACGGCCGCCTTTGCGCAGCAGGAGACCTTTGCCAATCTCCAGGCAGTTCGGTCGGGTCGAGACCGGTGCGAACGAAGGGAAGAAGCCGTGGGAGGGACGTCGAGTGGTGTGTGACGAAGCCGAAAGACACGACCCCTTCACCTGGGACTGCCGAGAAACGGGCCTGCCGAGTGGCACGGGCGTGGCCAGGGGTGGTGGTGGTTTGGGGGTCTGGCTGTTTCTGCGGCGGCAGTCCGTCCTGGCAGCTCCCATGAGTCGTGTCCTGGCAGTCCCGTTGGTTTGTGGCGGACATCAGAAGTCGGACATCGAAACGGACATGAGCAGCCCGAACCCTTCAGGGCGGTCCGATCTCTTAGAGAGTTGAGAGGTTTGGGGCCCAGTTGTTACACTTGGAAGGTCGGATGGTCCTGGTATGTAGGTATTTGAGGTATTTCACCTGGTCCCTACGGCTCCAAATACATTCTGAGGAGGCACCTGGAGTTCTAGGGGGTGGAATCCTGCAGTGCCAGGGTCACTCCAAATGAAATCTGGGATCGTTGGTTGGGTTTATGTCATCCACTCTGACACTATAGATGAGATGATGTCGGACCCAGGAGAGCGATGGTGCTACGGTCCTTGCGGGAGAGAGAGGCGCAAAAGAAGCGAATAAGCCAAGTCGTGCTGATAGCTTTAAACGTATTGATCACCCAGTCACCACAACTTTGTTGTGACTATTCTGACTGCTCGTGCCAAAGTGACCCTGCCTGTTTGTAACCACTTGCAGGCCGCAGGCCTATTTGACTTCAAACCAGGGGATGAAAAGGTCATCTTTAAGAACCAGGATGACACCCAGTTACTCACACACATATACTGTAAATATAACAAAACAGTTCTCATGATTTCCTAGTTATGGGTTTCTATTGTCACCTCAGAGACTGTCGTTGCCCAAGTGTACCTAACCTGAGGTTCGGTACGACCGGATCCCTATAGGCTTGCTGAGTCGATGGGTTTCCACCTGTCTCCGTCGGCACGGGGCCAGGTGCTCTTTATCCTGTCCAAAGGCGGGTCCGCAGACGACCTCGGCACTAAGTGGATGAAGTCAGACATGGCTGGGGCGTTCTCCACGTGAAGAATCCAAAAGGCAGCAAAACAGGTTTGGTTTGGTTGAACTTCCGGTTGAAGATATAGACTCCACGGCAGAAGTTGGACTCCATTGCAGTGATCAGTGTTTTTTAATTGTCACCAAGTAGTCCACCAAGCTGGATACTTCGTTCTGGAATCAACTTGTTTGAGTCGTCCTTCTGGAGCTCGCAAGACAGGAAAGCTTGCGTGTTTCCAAAGACCGCAACCATAAAGCTGAACTCGTCGGAGTAATTCTCAACTCACTTTGAGGTGGTTCAACATCAGTGCAGAACTACACACCTCAAACCGTAGGCAAATCCCCACGCAAAAAGAGCTGGGCTGAAGGTATCTAAATTTAAAGATGACACAATCGCTTTTTGACAGGAATTGAGGGAGGTCAAAAGCCTGTCCCGCATCTCCGACCTATGACCGAGGAGGGGTCGTGGTCTCACAAAAATATGTTATGGCAGACATACACGCATGTACGTGTCTATCTATCTATCTATCTATCTATTTATCTATCTACAGTATCTATCTACAGTATCTATCTATCTTATCTATCTATCTATCTATCTGTCTGTCTGTCTGTCTGTCTGTCTGTCTGTCTGTCTGTCTGTCT